AAAAGTGCTTTACATTTTCGGCGATCTACGTAGAATCACATTCTGAATCGCTACAAATTATATTTAAAATGCATATTATATACACACTAGAAATGCCTTTGTAACATTTTTTAAAAAACGGATAAGATTTATTATTATATTATTTCCGTCCTACTTTAATTTTTAGTCTACGGATTTTATCCCGCACAAATCATAACATTTAATGATAAAAAAAGGTGAATGACAATAATCTAAAATATTCTATGCTTAATTTAATATACACAGGGTGAGATAAAAAAAAACTACAACAAGGTCAAAGACCGTAATATTTACATTTTTTTAATTTATTAAGTGAAAGCAAAGAATGTCGGAAACAGCATCAAATTTTAGAATAAGATTAGATTTGTTCGAATTGGTCACCTTTGGCACGAATTATGGCCTTCAAACGGCCAATGAAACCGTCACACGCTTCCCGAATGTTGCTCTGTTGTAGTTTGGCCCATTCCCGGCGAAGCGCTTGCTTGAGATGATCGACACTTTGGTATTTTTTGGTGCCAACCTTGCTTTCCAAAATACTCCAGACACAATAGTCCAACGGATTGGTATCCGGAGATTTTGGTGGTCATTGTGCGCTGGAAATGAAGCGAGAAACCTAATTTTCTAACCATTATTGGGTGGCGAGTGTCATGGTGCTGAGTCCTGTTGGAATGTCCAAGGTCTGCGGCTAAAATGTGTGCGTACCCAAGGCTTTAACACACGAGCCATTTTTCAACCACTGCGACTCGGGTTTTGACCAAGTCGCTTCTTTACTTTTCGAACCATTTCCGTTGATGTTGCTGTTTTCTTCCGTCCACTTCCTTGACATCGGGCTACGCTACCAGTATCACCGTAACGAGCAATGGTACGAGGCACAAAAGATTTGTCCACATTTGAATGCTGGAGTGCTCTAACGACAGGCACTTGCGGTTTTCCAGCCACATGCATAGAAATCACACTATCACGCTTGAATTCCATCACGAGTAACATTTTTTTTTGGAAAATTCTCACCAAAATGCTTTTGTACGCTTGTAATCAATATACTGTCACTGGGATAATTTTAATAGCTGTAGGTCGAGGGGTTTAGAAATGACAACAGTCTGAAGTTGGTTGCAGTTTTTTCATCTCACCCTCTACATCGATAATTTATGCAAAAATTAAACTCATTCGTTGACACAAATTTCCCATTTTCATTTGAAAACAAAATATAAAAACAAACCTCATAAACAATATTTTAATAATCTTGGCATTGTCTTCGTGCATTAAATTTGAAATATATTTCCCTTAGGTTAAAAGTTCACATGATTTATGACGGCAATATGTTTTCCATTTTTCTCAAAATTTTAATGTTTAAAAATCCTCTTCCATAATTAAATAAAGATATTCAAAAGTCATAAAAATATGAATTGCTGACGATGATTCAATTTCAATGAAGTATGTTTTTTAAGAAACCAAGTGTTTTGGAAAATAATTTTTTATGACACAATTGAATTTCCGCAAAGTGAAATCCATTAAATATTATATCAAAAAAAAAAAAAAAAAAACAACACAAGATATAAAAAAAACAATTGCGACCCCTTTGTTTGAACCTCTTAACATTTTGTGTTCATTCCATCCGAACTATGAATAGTTAATGTAAATGCATTAAATATGCAGACATAAATCAATTATTGGCAATGTGAATTGCGACGACCCCCATTAGCGTTATCGTTATGGCAAGAAGCAACGTCATGAGCGATCTACACCACGCAGACGAACATCTGTTTGTGATAAAACAAAATATGGATATTTGTATAAGTTCAACGAACAATCGTCATTGTTCGCAAGATAATTACAAGGGTAATTTTTTACCCTTTCTTGTAATATTTATAAGAAGTTTTGATATTAAAATAAAAATAGAAAATATTGGAACTCCAATAAAATCTAAACAAAGTATAAAATCTGTAAACGAATAAAAAATTGTACTGGAATAAAAAAACTTCTTCCCGTAGTCGAAATCATTGTTTTAGATCAATCCTAACATATATCAATATGAATGCCGAGACAGAAAAAGAGATAGAGCTGATTTGATCTAGCAATGGTAAAGAGACAACAATTGCTAGATCAAATCAGCTCTATCTTTCTGTCCTTGTGTCCTATCATTCAAAGCACAAAGTGACGATGAAATAACGAAGGTAACTTCTGCTGAAAAAATTAAAATTTCTTTTCTTTTAATTACACTGTGTAAGTTAATGAATAATTACAAAAAAAAAAAAAAAAAATTCCGACATATAATAAAAAAAGAGCTAAAATTAGGAGACAGATGTACCGGTGTTTTGAAAGTTTACCTCGAAAAGTAACCTACATTGAAAGGGGGTTTCTCCTCTTCTACCATTTTTGAAATTTTCGGATAATGATTCCTTAGAATCCTTACATTTTATTATATATGTATACAGTGTCTTGGAAAATATTACAGATGATAATATAAGGATTTTTTGGTGACAAAGACAATTTTTTCGAACTTTAAAAAAAAAAAAATCGTTAAAAACTTCCAATGGTAGAAAACCTTCCCACAGAAGGTATTTAATAGAAAAAAGAAAATATTTTGAAAAAAGTCGAAATAACAAAAATACATTTTTTCTGCAAATCCGCAATATCTTAAATCAGGGGTATCTTTAAATAAGGACTGTACCAAATCCTGAACCTATAGAGACATTTTTTGGTAGTAGCCTTTCTTTCAATATCAAGATTTGGTGAAATTAAATGAAAAAAATGACTAACACTTAAAAAATACTTGAAATTGAAATTTGCCCTTATATAGGAACTATACCAAAACGTGGACCCATATGAACCTTTTTTGAACCAGAGGCTCTTGAGCAATCCAAAGCTCTTCACAAATTTTCTATTAAATATTATTTGTTGCCACATATATCTCAAAATATAGGGGTCCCTTTGTAAGTTGCCAAGGCTATGTATAGAAGCCCTTAAAGAGTTTGGCCTAAGAACCTGAAACTCTTTTGGAGTTTAAACCGAGAACTTTCAAATTCATTTGGAATTGCCCAGAGCACAAACTGACTATATGGCAGTGAAGTTGATGCGAATTTGGAAAATGTTGTTATTTAGTCGAAAATTAAAGGACCTTTGTTTACTTATCCAAAATTTATATTTAAGGAATATACTAATTTAAAAAATATTTTTTGTTTAAGGGCTGATATTGAAATTTGGTCTCTTATATTTCATTCTTTGACACTTTCCCCAACTTGAAACTTTTCCTATAGAAATTGTTGACAATCGGATCAGACTTAGATATAGCTCTCATATATCTTCGACTGATTTCGGGTTAATTGTGCACCAAATGTCTAATAAATGTCCCAATGACCTTAATTTGGCTTACCCAACCGAATTTAGTCTAAAAACAAGTACATCAAATTTAGTGAAAATCGGTTCAGGTATAGCTATAGCCCCCATATGTATGTTTTATCCGATTTGGTGTTTGAGTCCCTCCCATGCGTAATATTTGGTACCAGATATCAGAAAAAGCCCAGATATACCTCTGCTAAATTTTATCAAGAACGGTTTAGATTTGTATATAGCTCCCACATATATCTTTAACCGATTTCGGGTTAATTGTGCACCAAATGACCAATATCAGTCCAAAAGTCCTACATTTTGGTCCATCCGACCGAATCCAGTCTAGAAGCAAGTACATCGAGTTTGGAGAAAATCGGTTCAGATATAGCTATAGCTACGATATATAAGTTGCGTCCTATTGGGACCCTCACATTCATAATATTCATTCGACAATAATGATATTTTGTACCAAATATCTTATTGAGCTCCGAAATACCTCAGCCAAATTTCATGGAGATCGGCTTAGATTTGTATATAGCATCTAAATATCTTTAATCCGGTTTTAGGTTTATTGTGCATATAATTTCTAATATCAGCCCAAATGCAGAGACTTTCGGTACATATGTTTCCATTTTCTTGAACTCGGCTCCGATATATATTTTTTGAACATAATCCTTCTCGTGCACTCTATAGCAATGTTATTTGAATTTAAGAATTAAAATGTTTTCGTAAAATTTAGTGAAAATCGATTTTGAATTGGATATGCCTCACAAATATTAGTTCCCCTTGAAACCAAACTATAACTGTTCTAAAGCCAAATGTTAATAGGTAGTATCTACTGGTGATCTACTTCAAAATATTTTTTTTTATTACGGGAGCTCCGCCCGACTTTTTACTTTTTGTTACTGATTTTTATTTTCACAATATGCCGGATTTTTTCAGTAATTGTTTTTGTGTTCCCTAGTGTAACACAAATGAAAATCACAAGTTGAGAAGGATAAGTTGGCAGAGATCTAGGTTAGGATTTATATTGAAATTTGCGAATTTTGGAGAAAATCACCGGCCTGTTTCGCATGTTATGAGAGTTATAATTAATCCACATTTTGACCCATTGTACCAACATCAACATGTAAACATCAGATATTGAGCTTAGTCCTGAAACGGATTTGGTCCAAAGAGACCTGGGGTCTCAAACCTCTATTTCGATGAGGCCCATTTTACTCGTATCAAATGATGTATACCTTCTTTAGTCATATAGATGAGGGTATTAAAGAAAAAGTAACAAGAATGAACAAATGAAACAATTTGTTTACTTATTTGCGAAAACATAACGACTTTCCTTGTAAAGTTGAAAGGTAAGTAGATCGATTTGTTGTTAGCTGAGAATAACAAAAAAATATTAAGAAATGCGTTTATTCATGGGTATTAAATCAAAGCTTAAATCAAATGTAAATTGATACACGAAATATATGATATGTTGCGTATACGCATTATGGTCACATGGCGTTTGCATTACTAATACGCCACCACAAACATTTAAATGAAAGCCACAAATGTTATCGATAAAAACAAATACATACATACATATTCCTAACTTTCCTAGTAACCATCAAAATAATTAATACCCAATTTTTCCTCCTTCTCTCTCATTACAGGCAATATTATTTTATACACCAAGATGGCTGTGGAAGTCTTGGGAAGGTGGCAAAATTCATGCACTTATCATGGACTTAGATATAGGAATCTGTTCCGAAGCCGAGAAAAAACAAAAAAAGAAATTACTTTTAGATTATTTATGGGAAAATCTAAGGTATGCTATCGCACACAAAATTTATTACAAAACACATTTAGAACAATTAACATAATCACATTCTAATTATGTAATTAATTTATTGATTCAATGGACCGTAAAATTGACGCTTCACATTTTTTGTTTTTGTATCTTCTACAGATATCACAACTGGTGGGCGTACAGATACTATGTTTGCGAGTTGTTAGCACTCATCAATGTGATAGGTGAGTAATAATTTCTTCCACCAATTTGTATTAGTCCTCATATATTTCCCATGAAAATTCGCTGAATTGGCAATTATTTCAATATTAATCATTTGGGTGTAAGGCAAACAAACAACAAAAATAACAAAAAAAAAAAAAAAAAAAAAATAGCAGACAACTGACACACACACAGTCAGAGAGATAGATTCATGGAACCAAGTCAAACAATTTACCCACAAAACTGCCAAATAAATATGCGAAGACAGACAGGGTCTGATCGCAAATTAACAAATAAATTGACAAACGTTTTCAAATAAATACAAAACGAGGTATGTCTGTGTGTGTGTATGCGAGTTGGATGGTTGTTGTATTTTGCCAAGTAATTTATGTGCCATTCATTGACGAGTTGTGTGTTTATCGAAAGAGCCATTTTTCATAGACTTTTCCTCAAATTCTGAAATATTTACTGGCAAATAGTGCGTCCGTCTATTGTATCGCATAGGCATAGTCTCTGGAGGAGGAAGGGAGGGGGAATTTTTTGATTTTGTTTTGTTGCTGCAGCTGTTGCTTGATTAACAAAAATAAACAAATCTCATTGAAATTTAATGTTAATTTTTTTTTTTTGGTTCTCTATAAACTGACCACTGAATACTGGGGTGTTGTTGCTGGTGTTGTGTACACGAACAAAAAGCCAATAAGTAAATAAACATAATTAACCGCATAACATTTATTGATTTTCGTGAGCCTTTTTTTCGTTGGCTTGGCATTCTCTGGTTGTTCGTGGGGTTATTTGTTTTAATTTTAATAACATTTGAATATGGCACGCTTTATTTTAATGCATCAGAAAATCAATGATTTTTAGCTAGACCGATGAATATAATTTAGTACATGTCTGGCATTTTTTGTAAATATTTATTTGCGACACAGAAATTGAGGTTGAATTTTGGAAGGACAATGTCTGGGGAGACGATGAAATTGAATACTGACTCTTAACAGCCAATCTTGGAGTAATTGAGTCGTCTTCGTCAGTGAGAAGATTATAGACTAATTAACCTCGATTCTCAAAAAATTGTAATTCTGAGGACAAAAGTATTGTTTTAAGTCTATTTATAAATTTAGTCGAAAACGAAGCCCACGAAACAATACTTTAAAAAAGTAATAACTTTTACCACAACATGGTTCATTGTTTTGTTACTTCTTGAAATAATCACGTTATACCCACAAAGTATATAGATTTTTGATCAGCATAAAAATCTAAATCGATGTAGTGGTGTCCGACTGTAACCACCCTCTCTTTCGAATTGTCAAGTTTGCAAATATGCCAAGTTTTGCTATAGACCCCATTCATCCCGAAATCACTCTAGCTTTCGAAGAAATGAAGTAGGTTGACAAAACCATTTTTTAGATGTGTCGGTAATGAAAATAGGCTATATACAGGGTGAGATAAAAAAAACTGAAAAAAGTCAAATGCCATAATTTTTAATTTTTTTTTTTTAATTTTATTAAATGAAAACAAAAAATGTCAAAAATAGCATCCAATTTTAGAATAAGTTTAGATTTGTTTGAATTGGTCACCTTTGGTACGAATTATGGCCTTCAAACGGTCAATGAAACCGTCACATGCTGCCCTAATGTTGCTCTGCGGTATTTTGGCCCATTCCCGGCGAAGCGCTTGCTTGAGGTAACCGACACTTTGGCATTTTTTAGTGCCAACCTTGCTTTCCAAAATACTCCAGACACAAAATAGTCTAACGGATTGGTATCTGGAAATTTTGGTGGCCATTGTGAGCTGGAAATGAAGCGAGGAACCTCATTTTGTAACCATTTTTGGGTGGCGCATGCTAAGTGCGATTGTGCTGAGTCCTGTTGGAATATCCAAGGTCAGCGGCCAAAATGTTTTGCGTGCCCAAGGCTTTAATACACCCTCCAGAATATTTTCGTGATAATATTCGGCATTTATTCTGATGCCACGAGCGGAGAGCGACCATCGGCTGTTATGGCGGCCCACACCATTATCATGGCCGGCGCTTGAGTTCTGCTTGTCAACCGAATGTGCACATATTCATCTGACCTCTTTGGAAAGTAAATACGATTATTTTGTTCGCTTACAAACTGCTGGACAACGAATGTTTTCTCATCGGAGAAAACACAATTCGACAGTTTACCACTTTCGGCCAATCGAAGCAACTCTTTAGCTCTTTTGAGTCAATTTTCTTTCCGTTGTGGTGTAAGTTGCACTTTTTGGAACTTCAATGGCTTTACCCCGAGCTCATTTTTCAATATTTGCCGAATGGAATATTGCGATATGTTCAGCTCACGAGCAATTTTTCGGCCACGGCGACGCGGGTTTCGATCAAGTCGCTTCTTTACTTTTCGAACCATTTCTGCTAATGTTGCTGTTTTCTCCGTCCACTTCTTTGACGTCGGGCTACCAGTAATATCGTAACGATCGATGGTACGAGACGCAAAAGATTTATTCACATTTAAACGCTGGAGTGCTCTAACGATAGCCTCTTGTGGTTTTCCAGCCAAATATAAAGAAATCACACTATCACGCCTGAATTCCATCGCGAAAAAACTTTTTTTCTGGAAAATTCTCACCAAAATGCTTTTGTGCGCTTGTAAAGAATATAATGAGCTGTTACTGGAACTATTTTTAAAGCTGTCGGACGAGTGGATTAGAAATGACAGCTGTCTGAAGTTAATTGCATCATTTCATCCTGTGCATAGCTAGATCGATTCAGCTCGGCGAGATTGTAAGATCCATATATAGTTTCCTATGTCGGGAAACAATGTTTCGAGTAGTTTCATAATTTTGGCCCAATCTTACTTATAATACCCCCAACACAGTGTAGGGTATAAAATTGTGAAAGAAAAATCCCATGATCTTCAAATTTTGCACATCCTAATGGTTCTACCAATACAAAATCTGGTATGAAGAATGGAGAGAACGGACAATTCCTATTGGTACTTGCCCAACGGCGAGTTAACCTTTTTAATAATTATCACACTCATAAAAGGTACATCCTAACAGTCTGTTTAAGATCACGTATGGGGATGCGATATACCTGTTCAGGAAGTGGACGATGTAATCTAAACTTGGCACGTCGCAATCCAATATTGGCTTTGGTCTTCTTCGGTACCTCCACGATAAAGGGTCAACATTTTGATTAATCATAAGGCATGTAAAATATATTTAAATAAGCGAATTTAGGCTGAGGGTATACATCTGTCGGCAAAATGGACTGATGCTTTCTAACTTTTTTAACTTTCCTACAACTCTAAAAATCACATTTCAAACGAAATAATTTGAAGAAATCATCAATTTCAATTAGTTAAGTCTTTCAAGATCTGCATGGTACATTAACCAATTTACCTAAAGGTAAGCTATGGGTTGAATGTATGGATAAATATCTAGTCATGTGATAATAATGTATACCTATCCAAGGTATTCGTTGGAGACCCCATGTTAAGCTTAAAATTCTCTGACGATTTGGTCATCTTCGTCTGTCTTTTCGTGTTTCGAAATCACGATAGTGCTCTCACAAGCACTGCAATTATTGCTTATAATTTGGTATTTAAAATGGAATATCTCGGTGCATATTTAGATGTAATTCCAATATATTTAGAACTTATATGGTATAAGGTATAAGATAGGAATGTTGTAAACCCTGTTTGACCATGGTTGTTTTTTTTTCGTTGGGATACCGAAATTATTTTATCATTTTATAAAGAGTCAGCTTGAGTTCCAAAAAAAATCTCTAGCTCCCTTGTATCTATCGATTTTCTCATTCATAAACCTAATTTCTTAAAATAGCCAATTCAACAATGAAATCAAACATTGTAGAATTAATTCCTCAAAGAAGTAAAAAAAAAACATCGAAATTACTTTGATAATCCCACGTAAATTTCTTTTATATACTTTTCATATATATTTAGCAAATCATCACCTTTGCCTTCCTCCCATACCGATTTTTGTTTATCAATTGTAAATTATTAAAACATCTGTGGGTTTTTAATGATCTCCCAAAAAAAAAAAAAAAAAACTAAACAGTTTGTATGAGATTATCATTATGTATATGGATAAACACCCCAGCAAAAACACACTATTATGGAATTTTTCCTTTATGGCCAATTAAAATAATTATATTGCGAAACATAAATTCTAAATCGATAATATTGTACAAGAGTTTTTGAAGTAAATCAAAAAAAAATTGTTGTTGTGTATTTTTAATTATTATTTTTATGCGGCCATAAAAAAATATTTGCAAACAAATAAATTTGATTTATATAGAAAAGTTGCTAATAGTTTTAATATCAAACGGCTGGGGTTTGTTGTTAGTTTGTTTATGGCTTTACAAGAGTCAATATTTACATAGGTTTTCAGGGTCGAAATTGAAATAATGACATGGTCAACCATAATATGCTAGGTGTGACCTTTAAAATAATTTATGGGGATATTAAACCTTACAAATTTTTAAAAATTTCTACATAATACTTTTAATATTTATTTATATACCCTCAACCATATGGCTGGAGAGGGTATATATCATTTGATACGGCAAAAACGTGCCTCATTCAAATAACGTTTTTAGGCCCTTGCTCTCTTTGGACCAGATTCGTTGCAGGATATTTGGAGCCGATTTAGCGATGTCCGTCCGTCTGTCTGTCTGGCTGGTTGGTGCGCACGATAACTCTCAAAGATCGAGTTCGGAAATGGGCAATATCGGTCCACTCCTTCTGGTACCTCCCCTTAAGGGGTCAACACTTAAAAAAATATTTTACTGCACAGAAATGGAAAGGATACCCTATTTTTCTCCAACTTAGCATAACCTTATATTTCCGTCACTGCTACGTCTGATGCGAAAATGGACAATATTGGTCCACTCTATCAAGTACCTCCCCCACAAACGGTCAAAATTTGGAATAATTATAACCCTTATAAAATGTGAAGTAAGAGTCCGATTGTCTCCAAATTACGCACATCACAATATTCTTATTATCCTTAGGTCTGCTGTGAAGAAAGAATATATCTCTCCCCCCAAAGGTCAATATTTTGAAAATTCATGATGCTCGCAAAACACGAAATTGGCATCCAATTCCATTCAGACTTGGCACATCTCAATATTTCCTTTAACACAACATATGTTATAAAGATGGTAGAGATCGGTCCATTCCTTCTGGTACCTCCCACACTAAGGGTCAACGTTTTGAATCATAAAATCCGACATAACAATATTTTTATAAACTCAAGATCTGGTGTTAAGATGAAATATATCGATCCAACTCCTTCTGGTACCTCCCCACAAAGTGTCAAAATTTTGAATATTCGTGAAGTTCATAAAACACGAAATTAACATCCGTGACACGTCTTAATATTTTCATTAAAATCAGATTTGTTATAAAGATGGTAGAGACCATTCCTTCTGGTACTTCCCTCACAAAGGGTTAATATTTTGAATAACCAAAACGATCATAAAATCCGATATAAGCATCCAGTTCTCTTAACACTACACACATCACAATATTTTTATTAGCCCAAGGTATGGTGTGAAGATAGAATATATCGGTCCACTCCTTCTTGTACCACCCCTAGAAAGGTTAAAAATGTTGAGTATTCATGAAACTCATAAAATGCGAAAATTACGTCCGGTTCCATTCAGCCTTTATCTTTCTCAATATTTCCATCAACACAAAATCCGTTATAAAAATGATAGAGATCGGACCGTTTCATTCTATGTCGACTTAGCTTTGTCCGACCGTCTGTGGAAATCACCCTAGCTTTCGAACGAAATGAAGTAGGTTGATAAAATTTTACTCAAACGTATATTATGTCTGCAGGACTTTTGGTATTGAAAATGGGCTATGTGGATCCACATTTTAGTATAGCTCCCATATGATGGTACCTCCCTATTTACGGTATTTTGGTGATTTAGGCGACATTATTCACCGGAATTGTTTCAAGTTTTGGTATTTGAAGTTCGCTATGGATACTACAGCCTATGAAATGTCTGTGCATGTCCACGTCTTCATGTAGCCCCCATATAACGTCGTCGTATAGAACCTAATATAACAGCTTCATTCTGTATTTTTAAGATTTTAACAGACTTTTTACAAATTTTATTGATTTTGAGCATTGCCAAATTCGTTCCAAATGGTGGAGGGTATTCAAAGTTCGTCCCAGCCGAACTTACAGCGTTTTTACCTGTATTTTTTTTTTTTTTTTTCAATTTTTAATTAATATCCATAACTCTTTTTATTTTCAATTTCAGGTCAAATGTTTCTTATGAATCGATTTTTCGATGGCGAATTTATGACATTTGGCTTAGATGTGATACAATACATGGAGGCCGATCAAGAAGACCGAATGGATCCCATGATATACATATTCCCTAGAATGACCAAATGTACATTTTTTAAATATGGTTCGAGCGGGGAGGTAAGTGTTTTTTTAAATTTCTCATTCAAAATAAATATTGAAATTTTCTATTTTTCTCTTTTACAGGTGGAAAAACATGATGCTATATGCATATTGCCATTAAATGTTGTTAATGAAAAAATCTATATTTTCCTTTGGTTTTGGTTTATATTATTAACATTATTGACATTATTAACAATTATATACAGGGTGGTTATTATATTTTCACCACGTATGAGGGTGTACTTATTTCGTATGAGATTTAGGTAAGTTATATATCATTAAATTTTGGAAGAATTTCGATTTTAACATTTTCCTTTCTCTCTTTTACAGGTTAGTGCGTCGAGACGCTATAGAAATAATCGTTCGTCGTTCAAAGATGGGCGATTGGTTTTTATTGTATTTATTAGGTGAAAACATAGATACGGTTATATTTCGAGATGTTGTACAGGATTTAGCCAATCGTTTAGGTCATAACCAACACCACAGGGTGCCTGGACTAAAGGGCGAAATTCAGGATGCATGATATTGGGAGTATTAGAAACCATACAAAATGCAAAATGTTGTCTCCATATAAAAAAACAGTAAAACTTCAATGAAACGAAAAATACCAAAAAACACATAAAAACCAGACAAAAATCCAATAAAAAAAAAAAAATAACAACAAACCAACAATGCTGCCAATTTGCTTTTTTATTAGCAATTTACAACCAAAAGATAGTAGAAGAACAAAAAAAATGAAACTAATACACACTTCATCATCAATCAGAGTGCATTAGAGACAGACAGAGAGAGAGAGAGAGAGACCTCGGAAATTATAGCAAAACATCACAGGAGGTCTGGCGACTATTTGACAAACGGGTGTAGTATGGTTCCATAATATTAAAAAAATAATAAAAACAACATTGACTATTCAAGACGCACAAAATTCAAACCCGAACTATGCAAGTCTAGCCACCCGGGAAAAGTCAAATTTTCGCCTCTCCAAACGCATGTACATCTACAGCCACTTCACATCACAAACGCTAACTGGAACAAATGAACAAAAAGAGAAATGACGGGAAAATTCACATCAGAAGAAGTTTTTTGTTTTTGTTTTTCGTCCATCATCCATTTTTAAGCTAAGGATCGATTTACATATTAACAAAATAATACCACAACCGATTGTCTTTTATTTTTTTAAAGGCAATTTGTAAAATATTATAACAACAACAAACAATACTAGTTGTAAGATCACAACAAGAACAACAACACCACCACCAGCATACGCATGATCATCCTTCATCCACCTTAGACCCCATTCGAGGTTTAGTTTGGAGAACATACATTATCATCGATAATCAGGATCAGATCAGAAATCAGACTTTACAATACCCAAAATATCAGGCGATCATTCACAGAGTACTAATTTTTTTCACCACACTGGCTCCGCTGCTTTTGTGTAGTTCAACACACATTTTATTGTCATCATGATAGGAACCTTAAGCTTAAAAACAATGAAAACAATAAATAATAAAAGAAAAACAGGTTACAAACCAAAGACGAAAGATTAAGAAAACATAAAAAAATGATGAAAAAATTTGGAGACAACAAAAGGTGTATAATTGCATTTTTGTATTGGACGGTTCTTTTTTTTGCCGAACATTAACATCAAAAAGGCAAAAAAAAAAAATAATATTGAGGAAAATTCAAGCGCTAGAAAAAAAAGAAAACAACATTGGCTAAAGAGAACATCCTAAAACCACGACAACAACAACTACTATGTGTTCATATTACAAAAAAAGTGAAAAAATCTATAAAAAAAATACAAAACACTTCTTTTTTAGAAAAAAACTTAAGAAAAAATATTTTGGATGTAAAGAAAATATTAAAAAATTTTGCGGAAAAATTTTAAACAAAAAACAATTTCCCATACGGAAAATCTGGCAAACAAATTTGAGTGAAATATTTTCTCTTTAAATCTGTACAAAGTTTGTGATATCAATGCAACACAAAAAAAAATACTGGAGTTTAATACAAAACAGTTTTAAATTTTTAATAAAAAATTCTAAAAAACAGAAGGCAAAATTTTCACAATATGAAAATTTTGTATTTGAATTCGAAGGAAATTCATTAAAAATTTAAAATTATGAATACCAAGTTTTATGAATACAAGTTTGTGATGCGAAAAGAATTTATACAACAGATTTTTTTAACGAAAGAAAATGTATATTACAAGGAAGATCAAAATTTAAATTCAAATAATATGATTCTGAAAAATCTAAATATTTTAAATTTGAAATCAAAGTTCTCTTTAAGCTTATTTTTTGCTCGAAAATTGTGCTCCTTGTAATACATTTTTTAAGTTGGTAACATTACTGAATTCCAAAAACTTCGCTTTAAGCCATTTCAATACATATACAAGTCCAAACACCAACCCAATTACATATTCCACATAAATATATAGCTATAAAGGTTTGAGTCCCAATTTTTCAGTTGTAGACAATTACATAAAATTGCCTTTTATTTTATTAATTGCTCTGTATTGATTTTATGCTTTGACAACCGACAAAGTAGATGCTTATATAAAATATTTTTTATATCCTTCCCCATGAAATAAACATATATATAGAATATTATATTAAAAGCTATATAAAATATTAAGAACAACTTTTTGCCAGCAGAACTTATGGGAGTTTCAAATGTAATATTTAGAATAGATTTTTAAAAATTACCTATGATCCGGATATCGATATTTTCGACATATAATCCAACCTCATTGCCTAAAATTTTCAATTTAAATTTTGGAACCTCTTTGGTTTTTGGAATGATTAGTAAGAAGGAGCTGAATTCTACTTATAATTTCCAAATCAACAAAAGCGTAAATCGTAAGGCACAACAATGAAGGAAACCGGGAAAAATAAAAAAAAAATCGCTATCAGAGTCTTATTCTTACCAACTTCATTTAAGTATTTTAAATATTTTCATAAATTTGGAGGTTTCCACAAAAGGCAGGACCAAATATTGTTTCATCCTCAAACTCAAAAATATCTATCCCTTTGATACTTGGCTATAGAGGTCCACGTTTTCGTATAGCCCTCATACAACGGCATCTCTATGACAGAAATTTGCCTATAGATATCTTCGTTCAGCCTCCGCAAAATTGCGTATTTTAATGATTTTAGCTATATTTTTACAGAATTATCTCATACTTTTTAGTTCGTAATAGACACCGATTTCTCTAGCAGATTTTGGTTATAGAGGTCCACGTTTTCCTCCCATATAAATAAAACACTTGATATTCGAAATTTTTAAAATTTTAGAGGAATCTTTTAATATTTTGCAAGTTTCTTATAAATAGTGAAGGGTATTATAAAATCGGTACGGCCAAAGTTAACTCCTTTTTTACTTGGTTTCAATTAATATTCATGAAATCCTTTCACATTTTCAAATAATGGGCAAAAATGGTTTTCAACTTCATAGTTAAATGTGGACTTCCTAAGCGGATTTTGAAAGAAAATAGTACTGTAAAACATTCGAGTAGAATGCAGAAACAGACAATTATTAGAATCCAGATTGGATTTATTTTTAATACTAAGCAATCGAAGCCTTTCGATTTGGATTTTGTCTTTCCTAATACTTTCACTTTCGACTAACTTCAAATCTTTCCAGGTATGGAAAACTTTTGAATCTGAATTGACCCCCAAAATGCCTCCTATGATAAAATTGAGTCGAGGCAAAAATTTGTCAGACTTCTTAATGATCTTTTCGTGGAAATGTGATTTAATGAATGATTCAAGCCAATAGAGACAGGTTTCAAATTTCTAAAGATTAAGCACTTCGTATTAGACATCAATTGCTATTTTAATGTTAAAGGTTTTTTCCCTTTGTGTCCGTAATTTCTCCTAAGTCAAGAGTTGAACTGACCAGATTTTTGGATAACATTTCTAAAAAAAGCACATTTTCAGCTTTGAAGAAAAAAATGAAAAATGAATTTTCCTACTTGTGTTTACTGACACATTCAAAAGTAAAATATAAACATAAGACTAAAGGCAACATTTAATGCCAACGCTAGTTTAATCGAATGACTCCCAATCAGAAGTTCGCTACGAAAAGTAGTTTCAAAACACTTTTAATATATATATGCTCATAACACCTGACTGCCAGACATGACAAAAGGTTTTGATAATTTTCAAAAATGTTGTTCATTAACCAAAGAAATTGACAATTAAAGCCGTTTTGCAGTTGGTAAAATATTTTAATAAATTTTATATATTTAAATTTTTTATAAAAGTTTTTTCAAGGTGAAGGATATAAATGTTATGAAATTTTTTTAATTTGGCTTTAACTGCAAGTATATTTCTGTATATAAATGATTTTGGTTATTGTTTAAAATATAATTTTGGGAGTAGTAAGTACTACTGTGTTCATTAGATTTGATTTTCAGAATCTAAATTAAATTAAGCTTAAAATTTGTAAAACTGAATTTGCCATTTACGGCTCTAAAAAATGCTTTAAGACGTCAGCTTGCAGATATTCTCTCAATAAATGACATTTTGCTGCATATTTTAAATCTTTCATCATAACTTTCATTTTTGTTACAAACTTTGAACAAAGCATAATAAAATCCTGCGAGGAATATTCATAAAAGCAAAACATTTTTAAGACAATGTTTTCTTCGCCAAACAAAAACACGTTCTCCTTCACTCTTTTTTAAATCCATAAAAAGAGAATATAATGCATGAATGCCCACACATGCAAGGAAAATACCAGCTTCATTGTGCAGCTAAGTATATGCTTCCTTCATTTCGCGCCATTTTCAAGTGAGCAGATAAACAAAAAATGCTACTTTTTCTCTTTTGGTACTCAAAAATCATATCCTGCTATTTTCAAAGTCAAATTCGAAGATAAAATTTATGGGACATAAAAACAAAATCTTATTTTTAATATTTTACTTTAAATAGGGTATTTTCAAAACTCGTTTCTTTAAAAATTAAAATCAAAATGGAACCTCACGTTTCATATATTGTATTCACTTGTTTAAAAATTGTCTTGTTAGGCACTTCTATATGTATTACTTGTTGCAGTCTCTATCTCTCCTCATTAACTGAGTATTGTTAGGGGGAGAGAGAAAGAGGCAGTAGCATTGGGTTGATTTTAAAATAACGAAATTGAAATTCTTATATATTCCATTTTTGATCGAGGAATTAATGTTCTTAAAGAAAGACATTCAGTTATATTTTTCAAGACAAACAACATCTCATAGCAAATTACAATGATGTAATTTCCCCATAACCGAGAGGAATGAAATATTTCCGCATTTATGTCACTTTAAATAATGCAATAAATTTATATTTGAATATATAGGTTTTTGTAAACTACATAAAATATTTGTATTTTAGTTTCCCCCATCCAGATTAACCCCAAAGCTTGCTTTTTTAATAGAGCCCCTAAAATACATACATACAAATATATATAGAACCCCCTTTGACCCCGCCAAACACAGGACAACTCTTGAAGTCTAATGATGTACATTTTAAGATAAAACACATATTTGTTTCTTGATACAAAATAACTTCAATCACAAACTTTGAAAAGCCCAGAAAAGGTAGGAATAATTCAATTGAATTCTGAAGAAAGAAATTTGGTTTCAAATGGGGAAAATGTCAAAGATAAGGAAAAGAGGGAAAGAAAAAATATTAAAAAATAAAAATGAAATTAAATCCAAATTGAATTTTTAAATAAAATTATAATTATAATTATATATATAAAAAATTTAAATTAAATTCTATTGTTTGTTCATTCATTTTACATTGAAATGGAAAAAAATATTTTTAAAAAAATAATTTGTTTAATGAAATAAATGTAATTTGAAATATTGTCATAATTCAAATTGAGGCCTGTTTTTCTATGACGAATGTGTGCAAGTGCAAATTTATTCCAAATTTTGAATTTAAATTCAAAATTAAAAATAAAAAAATTAAATTAAAAAACAAATGAATAAAATTCTATAAATAATTCAAATTAAATTAATTTCACTTTTAAAATCGAAAAAAAAATATTTTAAATAATTTAATTTGTTTAAAGAAGTAAATGGAATTTGAATTGTTGTCATAATTCAAACTGAGTCCAGTTTTTCTATGACGAATGCGTGCAATTGCAAATTTCTTCAAAATTTTAAATTTAAATTTAAAAATAAAAAAATAACATAAAAAATAAATAAAATTCTATAAATAATTCAAATTAAATTAATTTCACTTCGAAATCGAAAAAAATATTCCAATTATATATATTTTAATGTTAAACAAATTAATTTGTTAAATAATATAAATGTAATTTGAATTATTGTCATAATTCAAACAGAGGCAAATTTCTTCCAAATTTTGGATTTAAATTTAAAAATAAAATTAAATATATTAAAAATTTAGTCGAATTGGAATTTTTTCTGATTCATTTTCGTATCGTCATTCAAAAACTGCAAATATTTGTAACTCAACAATTTATTTTCATCCATTTTTTTGTATAAAATTTAAAATAAATGTTTTTTAAATAAAAATGTTTTTTAAACTGAAAATTCCTTTGAAAGTTGAGCCAGGAAGTTATATATATAATATTTAATGAACCAGAATTTACAGATTTTGAAATTTTCATAATTCTGTTTTTTCCTTGATATCATTTTTTTTTTTAATTTTTAAGGTTTAACATTTGCAAAAACATTCTAAACCTTTGATATTTCCCAATTTTAAATCATATTTTCTGCCCCATAACAACTTTGTTTTCCATTAAAATTGAAAAAAACTCAAAGCCATTCTCTAGGTATTCTATATTTTATAATAGAAAAAAATATTTTCACAATAACTCCCAACTTTAGTGTATATATTTCCGTATCAATAACTTTCTTCGTATCCGCCAAAATAAAATGCATCCAAAAGGCAAAAAAACCAATAAAATCAATTTGGCCCCCATACAAGAATAATGAACACGACGAACAACAAAATATGTCAGAGTTTTTTTT